GCTAGTTACAAGAGAGTTAATAGGCAAAAAATATAAAAAATATATTTTAATTATATTTTTACTATATATTAATTATAGGGCAATACTATTTGTACTCTCTATTTTTGTTATTTGTACCTCCTACCTATGTAAAAAAATTTATCATAATATTTGTCATAATCGCCAACAAAAATTTTGTAATTACATAATAATTAACAAAAAATTGACCAATTGTTAATCATGATTTAGTGTAATATAACATGATCAGAAAAGTTTAAAACAAATATTTTTTTTGTCAAAAATCACTTATTTCTCAAAAATATACATAAGAAATTACTGTATATATATTAACAAAAAGTTTTTTTTGAACAATTTTGCTATTAGAGTTTCTAAAATTTTATTAAAACAGAGACTTTATTCTAAAAGAATTTTCATTGATGTTACATAACTGCAAAATTTTGTAAGTAATAGTGATCTTGAGTAAGATATGATTCAGACTAATGCCTGTCTCAGATCATAGCTAATGCATCTTAAGTGTAAATTGTTAAGTGAGATGTATAACATATTGATTTAAAAAAAGAATACTGCAAGTAAGAAAATGGCAAAAAGATTCAAGAAACTGAGAATAAAAAGAGTTTTAAGTAAATGTCTTATTCAATTTATTTTACTCTTTTATTAGATCACAGCTTAGATAATATTATACATCTTATCTAATGATCTGTATTTGAGGTATGTCTGCTATAATCTGAAGCAAACATTAGTCTAAGATATAATATATACATTTTATAAGAATGTTAACGTGTAGAATTTTTTTTTAAAATTTGATATTGACATGGGTAGAATGGCAAGTTGGTCACTTTTCAAACAGATATATTATATAATCTATGAATTAGCTTAGTCGAAAGAGGCAGTTAGATTTGGACAAATAGATAGCTTATAATTGTAGGTTTTATTATAATAATAGTAGAATATAAATATTAGAGGATAAATTTTATGAGAAGCATAAACTGAACTGTTCTTGGAGGGCTCAAAGCCTTTATTATATACTTTCATTTACATAAAACATGTTATATACTTTATTCATAATATATTGCTTATACTACTTATGTTCATTATCTTATATATACTAATTATAATGTTTATACTTATTATACTGATTATAATATTCATACTAGTTATTTTAATTATACTCTTCATCTTGCTGATTTCTCTTATTCCACTAATATCAATTATCAACCTAACACTAAGTATATAGTAAATACTGTGTATACTGCTGATAAACCTATTTAAGGTAGGTAATTAGCATAGTTATTAATTCATTATACTGATCACAAGCTTCCAGTACCACCATCCTACTGCTTATAATATTTCTGCAAATACTAGTAAACAATGTTTAATTTTAATGCTTGAAGTTTTAACTTTAAACATAGATATATAATTAGAAGCTCTTATAACATATATACATAATTTCTGCATCATATAAATAACTAAAACTTTTTAAATTTTTTTTTAAAATATGCAAGATACAGTTATTCTATTTAATACTTGTAAAAATCCAATCAACTATTACAATAGAATCAAGATATACAATTTGCTATTATGCATATTTATATCTACAGATTGAGTTATTATTTAAAATTCTAATAAGTAAGGCCTGTTAGTAAAAAGCTGTTAAATCAATAATTATTTGTAGCATTGTTTTAAAAAACTAGTTTAGCGAATATTAAGTTAATCAAACTATAGTGCTAACATTGATATACATATTTTTATTTAGCACCTTTTGTAAGTGCAGTAATTTGAATGTGTCTTATAAGTACAGTAATTAGAATTGGAGACATTATAAATATAATAGCTTAAACTAAAATTGGATTTGCAATTTTTAATTGGAAATTTTAAATGCAATATCTATATTTATATATGTTCAATATCTATTCTATATATGATTAATTATATACAGTATTATAATGAATAGGTAAATATATTAATCTACATGCTGCATAAACCACTAACTTTAAACTTTAATATATAACATCATATATGGCTTGAACATTTTGAATATACTTACAGATTTACCTATTTGGACAAGTGCTAGCATAGTGTTCAGATCATTTGCAATGAGTGCAATGTCTTACTCTACATTCTACCAACTTGAATCCAAAGGAATTTCTTCTAGTTGAATTATTTGTTTGGTAATTAAAGGCACTAGAAGGTCTTCTTCTAGTATGAACTTTTGAGGATTTTGCAAGATTGTTAATAAAGCATTAATTATATTATTTAATTTTTTTCATGCAGCCTCTTGTTAATGTTCTGGCCATTCTTTATACTTTTCTTCTAGAGCTTGCAAAAGAGGTTGTATTTCAGGAATGTTTGTTTTAACAGGTTGTATTGGTAAGTGAGCTTGTATCTACCAGTGCTTATAAAAATCATCAAGCGTTAAGCCTTAATAATTTTCAACAAGTTGGATTCTATAAGCATAAGGTAAACCCATTATACTATAAAAAGATCTAGTACATATTGGTAAAGGATCTTGTGTAGTAGCATATTTTATCTTTTAATACTGCTTGTCTACTTTTTTAAGAGCAAAATTAAAATTTTTGCCTTTAATATTTTTATATAAAGAACTATTTTGTGTAAAAATTGAAGAGCAAATTTTTTCAGATGCAATTATAATATTTATTTCTTTTTTTTGGTTTTCTACTGCTAAAGAAATTTTTATATGAACATCATGAAGATCTTTTGCTGATGTACATAAGTATGTTTTTATTATTGCATATGTACTCTTAACCTAAGAGATAATAATTGTCTCTAAATAAAAAAACTTATTAGTCCAAGTCTTAACAAATTTTTCTTTCAAGTCATCCTAATTTTTTTAAGATAGTTAATAATATGAGGTTTGTTTGCATAAATGTTAAGAAAAATTTTCTATTTTATATTAAATTCATCCTTAGTTTGTAAGTAAACAATGTTATTCCATTCTAAGAGAAAAGCTTGCCACTTATTGTTTGTTTCAAATTGAGACTTACAATTTTTCATTATGTTTTTATTAATATGCCATAGGCATAATAAATTAGCTAAACTTAAAAATGTTATATTAAGAGCATTTATAAGAGCCAACTTTCTATCTGTTACTATAATCTTAGGTTGTAGTATCCTATTAAACAATTTAGTGATACACATTAATGCCTATAAGTAATCCTTTTTATCTTCGTCTTTTATAAAAACAAAACATAAAAAAAAAGTAGTATTGAAATTGGTAATCAAATTTAGCAAGAGCATTTTAAACTTATTTATTTTATAAATGCAATTCATAAGAAGTACAAATGAATATTGACATGTAAATATGATGAATTTATTATATGCAAAAAAAAGATGAGTAATATGATCTATATTAATGTTACAAATTAGCAATTGATTAGTTAATTAAAATTTTTTAAAAATTGACTGAGTTGATTATATTTAATTAATCAATTAGTTATTTAATCAATTAATTGATTAATCTATTGGTGCATCAAAATTAGTAGCATAACCCAAATTGTTTTGGCATTATTTGGCATTTTCAGTACATTTTAATCAGAATTTTGAATTTTGCCAATATCAAATTTAATGTTACTCAAATAGCAGAAAGTATTATTGCTATTTGAAACTTTGTTATAGCAATTTGAAATTTAGCATTTGATGAAATTATCAGGTTTGAATTATATAACTAATCGAAATAAAAAAAAATAATATATATTATATAAAACAACTAATCGATTAATTGCTAACAATTAATTAGTTGTCTAATAAAATTATTAATTTATTAGTTACCAACTTGATTAACTAATTGATTTTTGAATCAGAACACGAACCTATACTATTGCATTTGTATTCGTATATATAATTGCCTTTTTTAAGCTTATCTATTAATACTTCAACTAAGGTATGATCTGCCAAATTTCTTTTGCAAAACTGCTAATATGCATTATAATAACCTTACTTATTGCTAATGCTGATAGATCATTTTGATAAATAGTTAATATTATTTCCATAGAATGTGAATCAGAGGTTGTTATTTCTGTAACTCTTACTAATTTGTGCTTTGTAAGTTGATGTAACATTAGATGTCCTAATAAGTCTTTCAAGAGGTTATGATTATGATTACTATTATGGACTTCTATATACTATAAATTATTACATCAAACAGTGCATAACTCAAAAGAGCAGTTAATCAACTAAATATTTGTTTGTTTTTAATGTGTTTCTGAGCTGTTATAAATTTCACTCCAATCACAACCCAGTGTTATATTTTTTAGATTATTATACTAATTCTTACATGTTCTTTTTTTCACTAAAATGTAATCTTAAGAATTAGCAAAGATTTGAGTATTTTGAAAAAGTTCAATAGTGCTTTTATATATTGCAGAAGGTGGTGAAAGCATATTTGTAATTAAAATAAGATTTTGTTTTAGAGATTTATTATTATAACAAGACTTAAGATTTATCACTATAACAGAAAAGTGGATATGATTTTTTATAGTATTGTTAGAAAAAGTATTTACTAATTTTCTAATTTGATAGTTTTTAAGTAAATATTATATTATCTTATTTTATGCATTGCATAGCAATGCAGTAATTTACTATTACTAAATTATGTATTACAGATCAATCAGTGCATTGCGAATATGTTGTCACTAATATGTTTGATCAATCTTTATAGAATGCACATAAGATATAGTTAATGAATAATGCATACAAAAAGGTGTGCATAATGGCAACTAAATTTTTTTTTTCTAATTTTATTTTATTTTTTGGTCTAGCATCATTACAAAAACAAGTTACAGCATTTTATTTTTTAGATATGCATCTATTTTTAATAAATATAAATACACTTATTGTATTTTTTTTTTTTTTTTTTGGTATTAAGGTGAGGCCTTGCTTATATCTTTATTAATAATTTAAAATAGTTACATGT